CCTGAAAACGCAGCTCCCTTGTACACACAATCGAGTGGGGAAGAAGCCCAGGCTGTTACTCAGCACCAAGAACCATGATATATATTCCCAGACATATACATGCAAGTGCCAGAAATACACCACTTGCATATGTGTGTTTGTTAAAACAGGCAGAGTTCTGCTCTGAGAAGGCTCTTGCTGCGAAAGGCTGCCTGATAATCCATGCACGCACCTGGGTGATCGGTTCAGAGTAGATATAGCTACAAGTACAACCACGGTGAGGTAGAAACAGGGTGAGCATCTAACCCTCAAAATATTACCTACTCCCCAAACATTACTCTCCCAAAACAACGTACACAAAATACACACTATCTACTGAACTTTCAACACAGGCACAGTGGAGACATCTTAATTTTCATTCTATAAATACTACTTTTCTATAAAATAAAATATAAGGATTTAGTAGTAACAAAACGTTAGATCTTCAGAATTCTTTTCAGTTGATTACTCCTTGTAGATTAGTGAATAAATGCTATAACAACCTCAGGGTAGACCAGAATTATCATTGCCATGTCATCTTAATCTAAAAGGCCCAAGACCAAATCAGACTGCAAACACGCATCCACAAGGCAAACAGCAGGTAAATTATTTTGTTTGTAAAGGATACTAAAGCACCCTGATTTCTTATATCATCTGGACCATTAGCTGGAATTTTCTATGCCACCCACAAACATTAATACAGGGTTGGTTGCCTCCCAGTGAGGGCTGGTTTTCCATTACAAAGACATACCATTACTTTTTTCTTCATGTGCCATATTGTTGTTTAACCCTCAATAGCTACTCTCTCCAACTAATATCCTTCTGGAACAGGAACACTAATCTCTGTAGTTCATGGACACAGATAGCAATTATGCCTACTACAGTCCTGTTTGTACAGTTTTGCTTCCATGTGTAACGCCAGACGTCACCTCCTTTACCCGCACTGGGACTATTTTGTCTGCTGTTCACTTCAGACTATTGCCACCAAACTAAAATAAGACTGAAGACTAACAAAGCTCACAAGTACACTCCTTTAAATTTTTTTTAGCTCAGTTAGGTCAAATTAGATCCTGAATTAATGTTACACTTGCACTAGGGGTCAATAAGGCTGAATACCAAATCCATGTAGGATTCATAACACAGTGACACTATCCTGCAAATGCATCCATGGATCAGACTCAAAATGGTTTGTCTAGGGCTGAACTCTGCCTTGCAGTTCCCCTGTCCTTAAGTTAGGCACTGACCCAACCCGGCTGAAATTCTCTTGCCTTACACAGATTGCTGAGATATTGCAGATCAAACTAGAGCCACCCCTCCTGTCAATAGTGCACAAGGAAGGGAAACTTCAGTTCCGTCATTTAGATCAGCATATCTGATTCACAACCCACAAATGCTGAATATTTGTGTCAGTCCTAAGTATTCCTCGATAGCTATGATTGCACTTCACGTAATCCAATGTCAAAGAATAAGGAACTTGGCCTGCAGTTGGTAGTTCTGCAATAGCAAACCACGCTGACCTTTGCAGCGTTTCCCACTGAAAGCAAAGGGAGCCCTGAGAAAGCAGCAGTGTGACCTGAGAAAAAGCCTTGTCTTGACTGAGGCCAAATAAACCGGAAAAAGATAGTCAGAAGGGAAGAGGCCTACCTCATGTACATGTCACTACAATAGCTGAGAGCCTCTGAACCTCCTTTGAGGTGGCCATAATAGAGTTTCTTCTTTCACACAGAGCAAAATTGCTGCAGATACAGAGAGGGCCTTACTCAGACAAGCTACTACAGCTCTTTAGCTGTACGTCTAGACTGCAGGAGAGATGAACTTCAGAGGACAGTTCATGAAGCCATTCAGAGCACATCACTGCTCCATCCCAACCTGTGCGCCTGCTCTTCCTTCCCATGAAAAACACTGCAGGGAACTGCCTTGACTGTCCCAGGATCTCAACCTTGACTGGGTGCTGCAACATGGTCAGGTTAAAGAGGGCAGACCTATAAGCTGGGAAAACCTCAAGATTATCAGTTTCAACACAGCCTCAGGCATCTAATATGGCATCTATGCTGAGATAAGCAATGAGCAATTTAGCTTGATTTATTATACAAAGCTTCCTCAGCATTAACGGAGAATTGCAGAGGTCATATTCAGACACCTGCTTTAAATTCTTTAAATTTTTAAACTGAGTTGCTGTGACTTCTCTCCACCGACTTAATGGAGAGAAAGGACCTGGCTGCAGAATCTTGAGACATGTTAAATTCCAGGTATCATAAAAAGTGTCTGTATCCACTTTTAGCTCTGTAGAAAACAGTCCACAGTCACAGGAAATCTACATTACAGCAAAGGGTTAAGTCTGGGTCTCCTAAACCTTAGACAAGAGGCCTTACCCTGTGTCATCTCTACTCTGCAAGATGTTCCCCCACTGCAATCCAACATACAGAAAGTCTTCCACTCCCCCAAACCAGGGAACAAAGGAAGACAAGTTCTTTTTTGGTACTGGCCTCCTCCCATTACAAGTTTAGCACTCCTTATGGCTCAATTAATCTCTGAGGCATTTCTTTTGCTTTTACTTCTGCAACATATGCACAAGCAAACAACCCAGGAAAACTATGGCTAAAAATGGCATTAAAATATGCACTCACCGTAAACAGCCACACAGAAATGTCAGTCTTCAGAGGAATCTAAGCTTTCACTAGCCAAGCTCTCTTTTTCTTTTTTTTTAAATCATCTTAATCAACTTCAGTTTTAACACAGGTTTTCACTGGCCTGAATTTATATTAGCCATCCTCATTCAACAGATGATTCGTCAAGGTAACTTACCTCCCGTCAATGCCCACAAAGAAGCAAGCAGAGGAAGTGGTTTTCAATGCCACTTTCTTTTAAAGTGTCTGGGTTAGCAACAAGTGCCATTATAAGTTCAACAAAGTTCACATACAATTAACATGTTAAAAGTGTGTTAGTGTGTTAAAAGGATTGCAGAGCAGCCCATAAAAGAGGGAAGACAACTGTTCTACCTGTCTGGAGGAAAAAAGTGAGAAGATTGTTGAGGACAAGAGTTAGATAGGCCTCCATCTGCTGGAATAGTGAGAAGAGAGGATTGCCCAGTGCAATCTATAGGCTTACTGGACAGCACAGCATGTTGGTAGAAAGAAAAACAGGGTGGTGTTATTCACAAGTGCTGATTAACATAAGCTCTTTGTGCATTAGCTACACGAATGCTGAATTTACATCTAGAGTTTTCAAAATCCAGAATACTGCAATCACCTAACAAAAGGAACATATGGTTCCAAAAGCCATTGACATGTGGTATCACCAGACTGGTGAAGCTAATCACACTAATCTGTACAGTCAGTGGAGAAAGTTTCTTCCTGAATGCAATTCAAAGCATTTCAGTCAAGACTTTACTCTGAAATAATCTCCTTGCTCTCCCTTCCTCTGCCCCTCAACTACAGAGGCAGTATATTGAGATTAGACTTCTCAGGATAAGGTCTTGTGAATATTGCTCCACTCCAACAGTCTGCGTGGAGGACGTGGGGCACATGTGCATGGGGGCACACACACGCTGAGACTTCACTGGAATTATAATACAATGCACATTAAGTGAAAAATTGTCCCTTTTTGACAGTGTTCCACAGGCACAAGACAGAAGGTCCAAACTGATCTGTTTTGACATTAAAGGTAGATGCATGCACATAAATACACATACAGGAAGATGTAAGCTAATTACTGTATGTGTTCTTTTCCCACCATAAATATTTCATGTCTATCTATACTGCAATTCAATAGATCAGGTTTGAAAGGGACACAAAAAGATCATGTTCTTATTTATCAAAAAAACACTATTTTTATATACCAACTTCAGTCTTGGAAGTTCTTAAAAAGGATTACATCCAAAGCACTAAAGACTCATACACCTGAATTCACTGAAGCCCTTACAAGGTGTGTGCATCAGGCAAACGTTCAGATTTCACAACACATTCATCCTCTCCACACTATTCATATGCAGTGACCGTAACAGGTATGTTCGGAATTTGTGGACCTGCATTTGTACGCATATATTTGTTGAATCAAGGACAAAGTTAACCTGGAGTTTTTGTACACCATCTGACTTCAAACACAGAACGCAGTCATCTAGTAGTTGACAGTGACCACATTGGATACCAAAATTTTTAGTAAGACGTCATATAGCACTAGCATACAAGACATTTATGCAAAGAGGAAGATTATTCAGAACTGTACTATCAGAAAAAGTACCTTTGAAGAGTTGACCATTCTCCATCTGAATGAGGGTAAGATGCAGACTGAGAAAACGTAGAAACTGCAGGAGCCTTTATGTCAGATACGTCATCACATTTAAAAACCATGTTTGATTACTGAACTGTCACCTACTTCAGATAACAAAAAACCCTACTGCAGAGAAGTAGTATAACCTGAACTAAGAGGAGATAGAGAAATGTTATCCGATTCACCCCTTCTAGTTCACAGCACAACGGAGGATTATTCTTACATTTTCAATGTCACTTTCATTATTTTTGTTACTAACATTCCCAATAGGTTGCTAGTCTAAAGCTTTTTCTTAAAGAAACACGTTCATCAGCCACGTGTACTGACTTAAATAGAAACTACTGTTAAAAGGTACGGAATGGAACATTAACCTAGCAGTAGGTTTCCGTTACATATCTCAATTTCACTGTGATACCTTGAATTATCCAACGGTTCTTTTTCTTCCTCTGAGCTAATCTCTATAGGAAACATGTCTTCGTCTTCTGATGTGTCTCCATTGTCTTCTCTTTTCAAGCTGTCTATTTTATGGGTAGATTTCCTCCTCTTTTTCCTCCTTTTTTTCACAGAGCTACTGACTGGAGATGTTTCAGTGGAAGGCTGGGATCCATGGGCTTGGGGTGGTACTTGTGAGGATGCACTGGTGTCCAGGTTTCTTAGCCTGTCTATGGAATTCCTCTTCAACTGAGCTTCCATTAAAGCAGTTGCCTCAGACAGAATGGGAGATGTGGAGAGATGATAAGGAATTACCTCCTGAGAAAGACAAAAATTCAAACCATTCAACATATCAGTTCCTCCACCAGTCATAAATCTGGTTATAAAATCTATGCAATTGACAAAATCTAAGTCATTTATTCCTCAGAAAAGTAACAAAGTTTAGAGATCTGGATAGTCGGTATGATCCTATAGCATATGGAAATTGTTCCATAGCTGCATCTCCTCAGACAAGCCAGAAACAATACCCTCAATAAAGAGGATCCTCTGAGCATCTAATATTGGCCAGGTTACGGCACAGCCTTTATCAATCTCATGCTAGATACAGAGCAGAAACAAAATCCTAGTTTATAACCTGAACATTTTCTAAAATCCAATTCTCCTTTACAACTCAGATGAGAGACAGTAGCCACAGAGATCAGTGGATTACAACCCGGTCACATAAACATCCTCTTATTCAATGATATATATACATCTCTAGACACTCATGGAAGTATTCCTAGCAATTTTCAGTCACCAAATAATTTACCATACAGAAGATTTAAAGATCAGAAGATTTAAACATAGAGATATAGAGATGAATACTGCACATGCACACAGCTCTCACCTGAAACTAGTATATTATACTCAGTATAAGAGTTTGAAAAGTCCTCCCACTCTGGACAGTGACAAAAATTGTCTGAAGAGACAATACTACTGAAGAGAAATGCCTGTAAAAAGCTTTTGTTACATTACATTATGTGTGGACTATTTCAAAATTAGTTTCACCATAACTTATATAGACTGGTATTTAATCACACAGCTCAACAGTAGGCACGCTCATTTAATAATTCCACACGAATAATAGCTGCAAGATCACGTCTTTGGTGAGTACCAGAATTACTGTGTGCACAGATGTTTATAGGACATGCACACTTTTACTGGAAATCTACTAAGTGCCTATCTTCAAAGTAAAAGATTTCTGCAAAAAAACAGGTCCATGGGCTTATCAGCCTCTGTTGCACACATCTTCAGAGCATGTGAACTCTGTACATGTTACTTCTGTTCACACACTGGCATGCACATAAACTATTCTTTATTTTTCAGTTATTGATAACCTTCCTTAGATTTTTCCAAACCTCAGCAACTCAAAAAACGAAGTAACTGCATGGTATTGAATTTCCACAGCAGAAAATAATCCAGAAACTTTCAAAACTATAAAACGGGTAAAGGTATATTTTTCAACAAAATTCCTAAACTCAAAACTGACTCTGAAGAGCAGGCATTGAATTTTTAATGAACTAAAATTAGTTTTGACTCTTACCTGATCATTGTCCATCTCCTGCACAAAAAAGGCCTCTCCATTGTCTCCTAGTTTCATGTGCAAATCTACAGCCTCTCCATTAATTTCTATGTCAACCTGGAAGAAAATAAATATATTCTCATATAAAGAGAAAGTTATTTTAGGTACACAGTTCCTGTTCAGCTATCCTACCTCTGTCACTGGGCAAATGTTTCTCAGGGAAGTGTAGGAAACCTTACAATAAATGTAAAATAATGAACTTCTGTTTCTCTCCTCACCCCTTCACAAGGCCGTCAACTGTTAAAATGTTTTTCTAACTCGTTCAGCTCATTGCCATCTTGCTCCTCTGCTCAGGAAGGTTTATAGCCATTATACAAAGTTCTGAATCTTTTAAAATGTAATTCTGAATGCTTCACTAGCCACACAAAGCCTCTTGCTATTTTAATTCATAGCCTAATTTTTAATTGTGCAAGAAGTACTTCCACATGCAAATTCTTAATATGCTGTCTTTCAAAATAATTAAACAGACTTCTCTTTACACTGTGAGAAACACACGTAAGAAAAATTTACATTCTCAATGCAATTCATTTGTCTATTTCTTCTGCACATTTATCTCATTGCTATACACCCTCAATTATTTCCATTTCTTCTCACAAGCATCTCCTTCTTTGCCTATAACCATTCTTGCCACCAACTCCATTTTCATAGTATTTTTTTTTTTGCAGACTTGGACAAGTCTACATTTATGTTATCTTTCAGGACACGGCATACTATTGGCACTGTAAAATTTGCAGCTTTTATCCATCCTAAATATTGGAATTCCTTTCTGATTTATGTAAGAATTGAACAAAATCCACGATGACATTAGGATCTTTCTGCTGAAAAATCATAGCTACATTAGAACCTAGACTATATGTACTTGCAAATTATTTCCTAAAATAATCTGTTGTGCATTAGTCACTGGCAACTCCGCATCTGATATCATACTGTCAGGTCATTCAGCCTGATTATATTTATGTCAAGGTCCTCACTGCTTTTTCTAGCTTCAATTAACCTCAACGTTCTGTTATCTGAAAATATTATTTCACTATTACCTCCCTTTTTGTAACTATCATTGAACATATTAAACAAAGTGGTCTTAATACACAGTCACTAATGAAATATGGTAAAGGCCCAAACTAGAACATTCAAAATTTTGCTTTATTGAAAATAAATGTTACAAATGTCATGGCTTGTTTGGTTTTTATTATAATCAATGTCTTACAAATCACGCTTTGAAATGCAAGAATCTGCAACAAACATTTTAAATGAACCTTGCCTCAATTTCAGCACTTTATAACGCGTGTCTAAAGAAAACCTTGACTACAGAACACTCAGCAACTTTCATGCCATAGAGTTAACACACAGACAGAACATACCAAAATCGTCAATTTTCTTACCACTTTCTCCCTAGAACGTAGAACTCCCATTTTCCCAAAGCGTACATGGAAAGGGGAACACTGAAGATTTCCATCTGGCTGACATACAACAATTATATCTATACATCCCGACAATGTGGCTGGGTTTAGTCCCTTATAGAGCTCCTTCACAGTTACAAACACTTGCCCCGCTAACTGTCCAACGTAATTCATGGTTTGGACCTGAAAAGCAAAAGAAAGAACAAATAAGATTTTGATCCCTACTTTGTATTTTAGAGACATTTGAGAGGCAGAGATTCCAGCAGTGGGGCATTCCCCTGTTTCACAAGTTAACAGCTTCACATAGAATTGGGATTTCTCAATTTATTTACAGCCGACACATGTTTGTGGAGAGCTATTAAAAGACAAAAGCAAAAGAGATCTTGTAACTCAGAGAACTGTAACAACTTTCAAAAGTTCATAAAATCAGCTGCATTCAAAACCACTGTCCGACTTTTAGACTCTGCAGCTCATAAATGTCTCCAATTATCTCCGAAAAGCATTACTTCCAAAATCACATCTCCTCCTATCATTTACTGTTCCCTCAACACCAACTGTACTTTTCTCATGTATTTCTACAGGCTTTTAAGGGCAGAGCAAGTGAACGGTTTTAAGCAGATCTACTTTTCCACTACACTGAAGTTAAAGATTATTTTCCCACTTTACAGGGATTTGTCCCACTAAAAGCTTATTATAATGCATATCCACAACAGGTTTGCATTAAGTTTTGACAAGCAACCTTCAATCCAGAGCATCTGAACTTCAGAGTGCTTCCTAATGCAACTTTACCATTCTTGTTTTAAAACAGCGTTTTAGTAACAGCAGGTTTATTGAAAATTAGGCATGTGTTGAAGGTTGAAGTGATTTGGTTTATTTCCCCTGCTCCTGGACTTATTTCGTATTTACCATTTCATTTCCTGCTTCTACTCTGTTAATGCACATCCTGCTTATGATCCATCAATGCACTTAGACCCCTATCAGGGACAGCATGCATACTCAGACATACTTAAAAGTTCAAAAAGTCTTTCAAGGGCTCTCGAAAATGTGAATGAATTTAAGCAGATACCTTCGTGAACAGTACAGAGTTTAAGGACTTCCAATGTCTGTTGTTTTCATTATTTTTCCAAAACCTCTACAGATTCTAAGCCACTGATTTCAACAAAGTCCTTATGCACTCAGTATAAAGCATGTGCCTCACATGCAAGTTCTCTGCTAGGCTGTACTACATCACCTGGACATCAATAAAAGCGACAACTGCAGGGCAGGCAATGCTAAAACTCCCGTTATTGGTGATGAGAACAGAACTGAGCTCAGCGTCTGAGAGAGGGTCACCGCACTGAGCCACGCAGCATGTGTTAACCAGCGTCATCAGCTACAACAGAGATGCTCTTTCAGCTGTGTTCTTTCATAAACAACAATAACACGTAAGCGTGAAATGCTGTAAAAACAGCTTCAATTTTTCACTGTGATTTACACTTAGAAACAAAAAACTATTAAAATAATACAGGGAAAGCATTACAGTAAAAAACTGGAAAATTAGGAAGTGCTATAATTAAGGCTGGTCTCTTCATGTATAACTGTTCTAAATAACTAATGATCACCTGTGGGGTTTTTTCACAAGTCCTTCCACATAGGATGGACTGAAGCTTTGCTGCCTTCTCAGTTTCTATTGCAATACATGGGTGTCAGGACACAAGCCATGCTCTGAAGGAAGAATTACTTATGTTCTTTTGGCATTTACGACAGTCATCACTACAGTACCCCTGAAAAGCAATGATGGTCTCCCCATCTGACAACTGGGGAGCTGAATCACAAACAGATTAAGATTAAAACTAGGCACTCACTTTGGAAACCAAACAGACTTTTTTTGACGTATTTCATATACAAGATGTTGACTAATAAAAGAACAATCCCTAAATACTGTTTGGAGAAGCATTTCAGGCATCTAGAAAGTGCCACCTACTGAAAAGTCAATACAAAAAAAACTTCATGACAGAAAGAGCATTCATATTCAGTTCTCCAGCATTCAACTGGTCTTAGCACTTCTGCTTCCTATCATACATTAGAAACATGCCTTCCTGAATACAAATCCAGTGGTAAGCTTGAAACTCACGCCGCACCCTACGCTGTGTCACAGAACAACAGGTTGGAACAGACCTCGAGGTCATCTGGTCCAAAACTCTGCCCAAAGGAGGGCCAGCTTGGACCAGGTTGCTCATGACCTTGGTCCCACTGAGTGCTCAGTGTCTTCAAGGATGGAGATTTTTCAGCCTCCCAGCACTCCTGTTCCTGTTTGCCTGCCCTCACAGCAAATTTTCTTCACAATACCCAAACTGAATTTCTCCTGTCGCAACTTGTGCCCTTGCCTCTTGTCCTATCACTGTGCACCTCCAAGACTCCGGGCCTGTTTCCCCTATACCACCCAACAGGTAACCGAATATGCTGAAGACAAAACTAGCTCTCCCAGCCTCTCCTTTGAACTCACCAGCTCTTAGCCCCGAATTATCTTGGTGGCCATCATTCAAACTCTAAAAAGCTGACACCACAGCGGCACAGATCTAAGTTCAGAAGCGAGTCTCCACGGTGACAGATGTAAGCAAACCTTTAAAATTATTTTTTTTCTTCAGAAAAATAATTCCTTTCCTACTGGGGATTCTTCTAACCTAAAGCACACTAAGAAACGCATTTCTTATTGAGCTAAGCTCAAATTTAAAGATGGCTACGATTAGACTCAAAATTACATGGTGTAGTTCACCCCAGCTAATGCTTGGTGTGCTGAAGTAACAACATTTCTAGGTGCAAAACAGCCACAACTGTTCCTTGGTGGGGAAGGAGTTGCTGGGACAGTACATACAGCCCACTGTTCGGAAGAGTTATGGGTAAACAATCCAAAGACGAGGACTCACACATCCTCTTAAGTTACACCAGCAGGCCTCCTAAACTTCTAAAGAGAACTATGCAACTATTCTTGTTCACAACAAATTTTAGCCATACTGCCCGCCCTGTCCTAGGACACGGATTATTTTTATACTCATGAATTAAAAAAGTTTCACACCTTCCTCAACCTCTGAGGCCAACTGGCACAGCACAGCTTGCATCCATACAGTGAAAATCTCTTATCCCTTAAAAATAAAGTGCCACATTCAAACTGCCAGCTTGTGATGGACACTCCTTTCAAGCTGAGCTGAACCTGGCCTGTGCAATAAAATCACTGTGGAATTAAAAGACAGACTGGGAAATTAATCACATAAACCCTGCTTCCTCAGCGAATCAGACAAAAATGGTTTTATATTTCACATGTAGGGAACAAAAGATGCTGTAGTTAAAACGGGGGAGAGTTCAGAAAGTGGACCCTGATGGACATAGGCCCTTTATCCTCACTTTTATACCTGCCAACCAAAGCTGAGATTGTTTGGACACTGAGGTTTGTAAGTTTATACTCCAAACCTACAGTTAGTCCATACTATGTCAGTAGTCCAGGAAACCAACATTCTTCAAATCCCAGAGAGACTGCATGTGGTTTTGGAGCAACATTTTACTGTGGCCACTCCAAGAAGTCTTTCACTTACTAACCAGGCAGCAGCAACATCAGCAGTCAATGTGAGTTTACGTCATGGGTTAAATCCCCAGTGCCTGCCTGTTAATTACACTGAATTTAGTAAAACTCTTGTTCTCATACCATGCTAGTGGACATAACAGAATATTTTTTGCTGCTGGGAAAATTCAAAATCCTTTTGATCTCAGCTCACAGCAAGTGAGAACAGTCTGCACTGCTTCTGTCAGGATTTTCAAATGGTTTGAGTTTTGTTCTTTGCCAGGAGACACTCCACAGCTCTACATCATGCATCTATTATGAAATAAAAAGTATTTTCTAGTATAATTTTTAATGTCAGTTTAACTAGCGCCAGAAGGCTCAGAAAATTTTCAACTCTTTTGATTGTTAGAGACAGCAATCATTTTTCAGAATTGATCATCTTGTGGAAAAACAAGTGAAAAATAAACAGCTCAGTGTTCCCTTACTACTTAACTCATTTATCAAAGATCAACCTAACAAAGTTAATTCTTTAAAGTCCCACTCTACTGGATGCCACAGTAAGATCAAACGCACTGTCATCTAGATAATCCACTTCTTTCATACAGGTACACCTGATTATGTCCTAATTCCGCTGAAAATGCTAGTAACTGTACCCTGCATGGCCTGTTTTTCACAGCCCACCTCTTCCCCATATTATTTCATCATTCTTTACTGTATTTTGTAAAATACAATACCAAAAATCAGAGCAACTAAAGGCTTTTTCTTCCTTTTGCAAGACCCAATGCCTCCTCGGGTGGCACAACACAGTGTGTAACAGGTTAGATATCCACACATGTCCAAATTACATAGGGATACAAGTGCCATACAACATGCTCTAAAGACGGACACTTTCTGAAAACAGAAAAAAAAAAAAAAAACCCACAACATGATTTAGGTAGCATGCTGTAAGGGTAATTCAAAACTGGAACACATTTCTGCAAGATATGAAATCTGCAGTACAGAAAAATTTGAGGAGCAGGACAAACGTCTGTTGGGACTGGTTTAGGACCAGGCAACCATAATCTTTGGGACAGAGACTGCCACTGTGCGTGTGTCCAAAGCTGTAAATCAAACCAGATCATATCACAGCCCAAATCATTACAGTTTGGTTACCTATACTGAATCTATTTGCATTACAAAATCTGCTTCTGGTACATTTTAGGTACAGCCCAATCAGCACTCTCACAACAATTCCCAGCCACAATTCCCAGCCACAGCTAATGAGATAAGATGGACTGGGGACTGCTCCCATGGCCAGTTTAGAAGTAGTCACCTTCTTTTAAAGGTTAAGAGAGCTTTACAGAACAGATGTGAACAGATGGTGCTAGCTGGTCTGGCCACCAAGAACAGACTTTGGCACCGTTTCGTTCATTAGTAGGGATGCAACATCCAGGCCCTTTTCAGCCCCTTTTCTCAGCTTCTATAGTTAGGACTGTGCACTGGTTTTGTAAGCCATGTGAGGAAGATTTGCAGCAATGGTAAACATTAGACAAACCAAATGCCTAGCACAAAGCAAAACAACACATGCAGACCTATCTTTCGGTTATGCTTTTAATACCTGACATCATGATGAGATCCCGGTCCACAACTGAAGAGATGG